AAAATACAGAGAGGACTTGATTTTTATTCTAGTTACAAAAATGTTACAATTATGTCAATCTCCTGATTTTAATAGAGTTATTTATGTCAAGAAGTTTACTGGAACTATTGGACAAAGTCCAGAGAAGGGCCACAGAAATGATCAGAGGGCTGGAGCACCTCTCCTATGGAGACAAGCTGAGGGAGTTGCGCATGTTCAGCCTGGAGAAGAGAAGGCTCCAGAGGCACCTTATAGCACCTTCCAGTACCTGGAGGGGCTGACAAGAAAGCTTGGGGGGGACTTTTTACAAGGGCCGGTAGTGACAGGACAAGGGGTAATGGGTTTAAATTGAAAGTGGGGAGATTTAGATTAGATATCAGGAAAAGAAATTCTTCCCAGAGAGGGTGGTGAGGCCCTGGGACAGGTTGCCCAGAGAAGCTGTGGATGCCCCATCCCTGGAAGTGTTCAAGGCCAGGCTGGATGAGGCTTTGAGCAACCTGGTCTAGTGGAAGGTGTCCCTGCTCATGGCAGGGGGATTGGAACGGGATGGTCTTTAAATTCCTTTCCAACCCAAACCATTCTGTGAATCTATGATTTATATGAATTTTTGCAGACAGACCTTGAGTGATACATTTTTATAAGGCAACAAGAAATGGCTGCATGAGGATTTATCATGCAAAGTGCACATTTCTCTTGTTCAATCCTTATCATATTGCTGATGCATTGTTTCAACAGCCAGAAATTATTTAGCCTGGAAAACCCATAAATATAACTTTCAAATCTGCCGTATAATAACCTGACAATGAAGCAGCAACAGGAGTAAGTTAATTGTATGGGACGAAACTCCTCCTGTAAGGAGGAGCCAAAACATATTGCATAACTGAGCAGTTTTTTTTAAAGAGATAAATTATTCCTTAATTCCTTCCATTATCAGGCCAAGGGGAAAAGCACATCTGTCAGTCTTTTATATGACTCGTCTGGATCCTAGAGCAGGAGTGCTTCTGTCCCAGCCACTGATTATCTAGAAGTATCCAGTACCTTCCTCTGTGAAATTCCCCTGTATGGATTTCCTTCCTGCAAAACTCTGCAGAAACTTTCCAGTTTAGCCTCACATTTCACAGTGACATCTGTTCTGGAGACACAGCCATTTGCACCAACGAGGACGTGCAGAGAAGTAAAAAACTGATTTTCCTTCCCTGGGTTCTCACAGACACTGCATCTGGCAGGTATGTCAGTGATGCCCATGTGTGGTGATTCATCCTCATTTTCCATTGTATTCAACAGGAGAGACTTGTGTTTTCCAGGAGCCTCTATTTCTGGCACCTATGACCTGAGGGAGGTTTTCAAAGGGCTAGGTGTGACTGATGCATTCATTAACTATGCTGTTCTATCTGGAACTGCTGAGAAGCTGATTGCTTTGAAGTTTGCGGACAAAAGTAGTCGCTTGTGTGCCTGATGTAACTGCTGGTCTTGACCTTGTCTAGGAAGAGGCTTGGGCCAGGGTCAGAGGACCTGGTGTCTGGGAGTGGTGAGCAGGGGCTGCAGCAACTTTCCACTCCCTCCCTGACATGCTGAATGCTGGTGCACGTCTTGGGAGAAAACAGAAGAATCATTGAAGAAGCTCTGCTGTTCAAAGCAGTTCCTCCCTGAAAACAGTAGCATCCTTCAGAGGGCTGGAGCACCTCTCCTATGACGAAAGGCTGCGAGAACTGGGCTTGTTCAGCCTGGAGAAGAGGAGGCTCCGAGGAGACCTCATTGCAGCTTTCCAGTATCTGAAGGGGGCCTACAAGGGTACTGGGAGAGGACTTTGTACAAGAGCCTGTAGTGACAGGACAAGGGGTAATGGGTACAAATTGAAATCAGGGCGGTTTAGATTAGATGTCAGGAAGAAATTCTTCACAGAGAGGGTGGTGAGGCACTGGAACAGGTTGCCCAGAGATGTCATGGATGCCCCAGCCCTGGAAGTGTTCAAGGCCAGGCTGGATGTGGCTTTGAGCAACCTGGTCTAGTGGAAGGTGTCCCTGCCCATGGCAGGGGGGGTGGAACTAGATGATCTTTAAGGTCCCTTCCAACCCAAACCATTCTATGATTCTATGATTCTATGACAGCCAAGCATTAGGGCTGGGCTGAAAGATTCATGCTATCTATGTAGGCAGGCCTAGACTTGAGAAAAATAGCTTGCCTTTGCTGGAGTTAAGCAACAGCTTCTTTTGTT